CTTCCTTCACCAAATTAGGGAAGTTTTTTTCATTATTTTTTCAAATAAATTTTCAATTTCTTCCCCTTCCTCTTTTCCTTTGGTACCCCTATGATTCAGGCACATTTAAAGATGTCCCAGAAGTTTCTAAGCCTATTCTTGTTTCTTTGTATTATTTTTTTTTCTTGCTGTTGTTATTGAATGCTTTTTCATTCCTTGTATTCTAAATCATTGATTTAATTCTTGGCTTCATCCCCTCCCTGTAGATTTCTACAGTTCCCTGTAGATTTTTCTTTATTTCAATTAATCAAAATTTCATTTCTGCCTGGGTCTTTTTTATGCTGTTGACATACCAGATGGGTTCCTGGAGCATCCTGATAACCACTGTTTTGAACTGTGCATCTGATAGATTGTTTATTGCCATTTCATTTAGTTCTTTTTCAGGAGTTTTGTTCTGTTCTTTCTTTTGGGCTGGCCATATTTCTTTGTCTTCTCCTTTTGTCAGGCTCCTTGTGTTTGTTTCTGTGTATTATGTAGACCTGCTTTGAATCCCTGTCTTTTTAGTGTAGCTTATTGTAGAAAAGCACACCTGTTAAGTTGTATGGGGCAGAGCCTTAAGTAACTGTCAGAGCAGAGAAACCCCTATTAACCCTCTGTTGCTTTATGTGTGGGAGGGCTCCGAGAGGGGACAATGGTGCTATCTGGTCTCTGGAGTTTTTCCCTAGAGAAAGCTGTCTCCCAGCACTTGCCCTGTTGCCAGTCATTTCACTTTCTCCCTGTATGCCACTGGTGCCCTTCCAGCTGTTCGCCTGGTGCTGATTCCCAGGGGGATGAGTCCCAAGTTCATTGTGGGCCCTTTAAAAGGAATCCCTTGAGATTCCTGCAGTTTCTGCCACTGCCCCAAACACTACTGGTTTTTACAGCTAGAAGCTATGGGGACTTGTTTTCCTGGCACTGAAATCTTGGTCTGGGCCATTGGGTCTGGGTCTGGAATCCCTCACTCCTAAGATATCTGTCCAGATTTTTATCCACCACACATGGATATGGGACCACCAATTCCCATCTCTGTGACTCTTCATGCCCCTCTATGTCTCCACACCTTTCTACCTTTGCATACCTCTCTGTGTCCCAGCCCCTCCTACCTGTAAGGAAGAATGTAGCTTTAAATCCCTGGTTGTTGGACTTCCATACAGCTTGATTTTCGAACAATTCTGGGTTACATTTGTGTTGTAGTCTAGTTGTATTTTTCTCTGTAGTTGTGCGAGGAGGCAAGGCACATTTCCCTATGCCTCCATCTTAGTGACTACCTTTTAAAATTCTGATTGTTCACACTTATGGTAATTTCACAGATTCTTTTATTTAAAAAACCTGATGTATCAAGTAAATAAAAGATGAATACATTTTTGTGAGCATACTGATTTTTAGTAAGCCAACTATGTTTTGTAACAAACTACAAACTTATGGGCAGGATAATATCAATTATAGTCTATACTTGATTAAAACTTCTAAAAATTTTTTTGTGTTTGTTATTATAGTTGTCCCAATTTATCTTCCTTTGCACCTGTCCACACAGCCTGCCCCCACACCCTCAGGCTATGAACACATTGTCCATGTACATGGGTCATGCATATATGTTCTTTGGGTACTATATTCCCTATGCTGTACTTCACATCCCATGACTATTATGTAACAACCAATTTGTACTTCTAATCCCTTCACCTTTTTGGCCCACTGACCCAATCACTCTCCATCTGGCAACTGTCAAAACATTCTGTGTATCTATGATTGTTTCTCTTTTGCTTGTTTATTTTATTTTTAGAATTAATTGTTGATAGATATGGATTTGTTGCCATTTTATTGTTCATATGCTTTATAGTCTTCTTAAAAAAGACCACTTGATATTTCATATATACTGGTTTGGTGGTGATGATCTCCTTTAGCTTTTTCTAGTCTGGGAAGCTCTTTATCTGTCCTTCGATTCAAAATGATAGCTTTGCTGGGAAGAGTAATCTTGATTGTAGGTTCTTTGTTTTCATCATTTTAAGTATTTCTTGCAAATTCCTTCTAGCCTGCAAAGTTTCTTTTGAGAAACAAGCTGACAGTTTTATGGTGGTTCAATTGGAAGTAACTAACAGCTTTACTCTTGCTACTGTTAAGATTTTCTCTCTGTCTTTAACCTTTGGAATTTGAATTATGATGTGACTTGGTGTGAGCCTCTTTAAGTTCATTTGGTTGGGATTCTCTGAACTTCCTGGACTTGTATGCCTATTTCCTTCACCAAATTATGAAACTGTTCTGTCATTATTTTTGCATTCTTCTTTAAAATTATATTTTATTGATTATGCTATTACAGTTGTCCCAACTTTTACTCTTTCCCTCTCCATTCACACCCCCGTCTCTCTCAGGCAATCCCCACACCATTTGTTCATATCCATGGGTCATGTGTTGGTTCTTTGGCTACTCCACTTCCTATATTGTATTTTACATCCCCATAGCTATTCTGTAACTACCTATTTGTACTATTTAATTCCCTCGCTTCTTCAGCCACTCCCCCTACCCCCTCCCATATGGAAACCACCCAAACATTCTCTGAATCCATGATTCTGTCCTTTCATAGCCTTCACTTTTTCCTCTACTTTGCTTCCATACTCAACCAATTCTGTGAGCATCCTGATCACCAGTGTTTTGAACTGTGCATCTGATGGGTAGGCTATCTCTTCCTCACTTAGTTGTATTTTTTCCAGAGTTTTGATCTGTTCTTTTATATGGGCCATTTTTTTTGTCTTGGTGTACCTGTTATGTAGTAAGTGGCAGGGCCTTAGGTATTTGCCACAACCCACATTGCTGCATTGTGGTGCTGTATGTGGAGGAGGGGTCTGAGAGGGAACAGTGCTGCTTGTTCAGCTCTCTGTCAGCTTTTGATCACTTCTGCTGCTACCCACAAGCAAATTGGGCCCTTCTGATGCTGATTCCAAAGTAGGTGGGTTTGTGTACGTTCTAGGAACCTGTGGGTCTCTCCAATGAACTCTTCTGTGAGGCTGGGAGTTTCTCCCTCTGCCTCAACCTTCACAGGTTTTTTCAGTCAGAGGTTTTGAGGCTTTATTTCCCTGTACTGGGACCCTGGGTTGTGCAGTCTTTCTTGCTCTGCAGTTGTTCCTCCCGGTTTATCCGCACACAAATGTGGGACCGCCCAGTCTACCAGCCACAGATTCACACACCCCACTCCTCCAGCTGCCAACTTGCTGTGAGTCCTCTCCACTCAGCTGCCCATCTCTTCTCCTCCTACCAGTCTGGATGATGTTTCCTCTTTAACTCCTTGGTGGTCGGACTTCCCTACAGTTTGATTTTTCTGGCAGTTCTGCTTGTTTTTTGTTTTTGAATTTGTTGTTTTTGTTCTTTTGCTTGTCCTCAGAGGCACAGTATGTCTGCCTATGCCTTCATCTTGGCCAGAAATCCCTCTAATAACCTTTAGATTAGGGAACCACTAGCAACGAGTCTGTGGAAGAACTGGATATAAAATCCTGAAGGAAGTACCATCATGATGCAAACAAACAAATGAACACTAACTAACATGACAAGTTTCAGATATTACTTATCTTTTTGGCCAGGCTGTCCAAAATTCAGAATCTGGCAGTTCTGGTTGTGCGACAGTGCCTTGCGAAGAGAAGACACCCCTCATAACAAAAGCCTTTAAATAATTGCTTCATTCCCGCCCAAAAAAAAATTAATCATTTTCCCACCTTCTTTTTTTTTTTAGAACCAAGGCTGGCTGCTATTAGTGCCAGGCCTGGGGCAACTTACTGAGAGATACAGGGCTTCTGGAGGCTGGATGCTGCTTGCTTGAGAGACTTTAGGAAAATCTGAAGCATGAGGCAAGACAAGTCATCCATATGGAAAAGTCACTGAATACAGCTCTGGAAGGCCTGAAAGTTGGGTATGACTGGGCCTCAGGGAATCATCCGGGTAGAAAGAACTGTGTGAGCCAGATTAGTGAAGTCACAGATATGGTGCTGGCCTGCCTGTTCTGTGAGGAGAGGACTCATCAAAGGAACAACGGCCTCTACCAATACTTTGGTCTAGGAAAAAGCTGCACCCCTGCCCTCGCCCTGATGCTGGATGATTCAGTTCCTTCACATGTGTCACTGGTACCTTTCAATCTGCTGCTCTCAGTGGGAGTGAGTCCAAGTAAGTCTGTGCATGGGTCCTTTAAAAGGAACTGCCTGTGACTCCAGGAGTTTCTGTTTTCCTCAGCCTCAATCCCCACTGGTTTTTACAGCTGGAAGTTACAGGGACTTCTGTTCCTGGGCTGGAGGGCCTGGTGTGGGTCTGGGGCTCCTCACTCCTGAGATTTGCCTTCTAATTTTTATCCACCAAACATGTGTGTGGGACGAGCTTGTTAAGTACCCTCCATCTAGTCTCACTGTGGCTTCTTTTTTAATTTTGCAGTTGTAGGCCTCTTTCAGCTTCATTTATGGCAGTTTTAAATAATGATTATTCTATAGTAGTTACAATTTTGATGTTGTGTGACGAGGTGAGCCGTATTTACCTATGCCACCATCTTGACCAGAAGTCCCAGGGATCCCTTGACTTAAACTTTATAATTTAGGTATTCTGATCTATTAATAGTCAATATAAATAGCTTCTTTGGACAGAATTATGTGTTTTATTACTATCTAGAGTTGTAACTAACACATCTCATTTATTTCTAAAATATATTTCCTTGTTGTACCTAGGTTATGAACAGAAATATCACACAAGTAGGAAACTCATCTTTATCCAGGGATATATCATTGAAACAATAATATTTCTCTCTTTTTGCGCCTGTGCTTCTACAAGGCCACACACAAAGGAACAAGTATTGCAAACAGTTTTTCCATTTGGGTAGTAAAATATTGATCTGCCAGTAATATTTTCAACAATTATTTATGTTTGTAGTTTATGTATGCCACGTATGGTGCTACTGCTGCAAATAAAGATCAGATAAGCCACTAAAAGAAGCTTTTAAGGACTGTGTTGCTCACCTGGGCTCCTTCTGGGGGTGGGAGACGACAACCAAATACTGGTGGGACAGGAGAGCCACATTCTTGACAGAAGCGAGCAAAGGGATCAGATGGGCGAGGGGCAAGACACTGGGCACACCTACAACAGAAGAGGTTACTGATTGGCCATGTTCTGATGGGTTCACATCAAGAAGTCAGGTGAAATCTAAAAGTGTTCAAGATGTTTAAAAAATATTTAAAAATACAAAAAGCAGAACACTCTTAAAGGCTATAGAACAAGTTCTTTAGTCATTTTATTACAAAATGGCCTCATACCTGGAACCACTGGTATTCTTTACCTGTAGGCCATCTCACTTCCTGACTGCAGCTGAAGTTATCAGCAGCCTTGATCCCACTTCTTAGTGGGGATCTGACTTGTCCTATCACATTGGTTTTGGTATTGGATTTATGAGGATAAACATAGGAAATTCCAGTAGTGTCTGCATTGCACTTTTTAGACTTCCTATTTGAGCATTAAGCCTAGTCTGTGTGGCACTCTAGGGGGTCACTGTCAGTAAAGCTCTGTCTGGGAAACATCCTCAATGTGCTAAAGGCTCCATAAAAAAACCCCAAAGCTGTCATACTTGATGGTGGAAGTCTGAAAGCTTTTCCTCTAAGATCAATAACAATTCAAGGATATCTGCATTCCAACATAGTATTGAAATTTCTAACCAAAGGAATTAAGCAAGATAAAAAATAAAAGGTATCCAACTAGAAAGAAGTAAAATGATCTCTGTTCACAGATGATATGATCTTATATGTTGAAAATCCTGGAGAATACACACTCCCAAGTAAATTATTAGATCTATAAGTACATTTAGAAGTGGTAGGATAGAATAATCAACACAGAAAAAATCCATTGTATTCTTATGAATAATCTGAAAAGGAAATTAAGAAAACAATTACATTTATTATAGCACCAGAAACATAAAATAAAATATTTAAGAATCAATTTAACCAAGGAGGTAAAAGACTTGTACAATGAAAATCATAAAACTTCTCAGGAAGTAATTAAAAAGACAAATACAAGGAAAGACATCTTATATTCACGAATCAGAAGACTTAAAGTTGTTAAGATGAAACTACTACCCAAAGCAATCTACAGGTTTAATTCAATCCCTATCAAACTTTCAATGAGCTTTTTTTGCTGAAAGAAAAACTTGTCCTAAATTCATATGGAATCTCAAGGAACCCAAAATAGTCAAAACAGTCTTAAAAAAAGAACAACAAAGTTAAGATGACTCACACTTTCTGATTTCAAAGTTTACTAAACAGCTAATTAATAAAAGTTGTATTCTTCTATCATAAGGACAGACATATGGACCAATGGAATAGAACAGAGAGCCCAGAAATAAACCTTTGCATAAATGATCAAATAATTTTTGGCAAGAATGTGAACACCATTCAATGGGGAAAGGACAATGGTGCTAGGAAAACTGAATATTCACAAGCCAAAGAATAAAATTGACTCCTTACCTTACACGATATACAAAATCCAACCCAAAATGGATCAAAAATGAATGGAAGAGGTATATCTATGATCCTCTTAGGATCAAGAAGAACACATAAAGGACAATCTTCATGACACTAGATTTGGAAATAATTTCTTGGGTATCTTACCAACAGCATTGGCACAAAAGAAAAAATAGATAAACAGAATGTGATCAAAATTTTAAACTTTCATGTATCCAAGGACACCATCAGGGAAGTGAAAAGACAACCTACAAATGGGAGAAAATATTCTCAAATCATACTGTTATTAATACCTAATAAGGAATTAATGTCCAGAATACGTAAAGAAAAACAACTTAACAAAAAACAAACATAAAAAAGTAGGCAAAAGACTTGAATAGACATTTCTCCAAAGAAGATATAAGAATATCCAAAAAGCACATGAAAAAATGCTCAATGTAACTTGCCACTAGGGAAATATAAATCAAAATCACAATGAGATACCACTTTATATTCATTAGGATAGCTATTATCAAAAAAATGAGAGGAGTTCCAGACAAGACGGAGGCATAGGTAGACACCCTTTGCTTCCTCACACAACCAAAAGGAGGATAACAACCAATCTGAAATCAATAAACAACCAAAAGTGCCAGAAAAACTCAAACTGCATGGAACTCTGACAACAAAGGAATGAAAGAAAAAATTAACCTGAACAACCAGACCAGTAAGGCGATGACCGGCAAGGGCCAACTCAGAAAAACCACAGACACCCACTGGACCTTGGGAGTTGGGCTGGCTGCCAGGATCCATGGGCTGAAAGGGAGGGGCTGACTTACGGGGACTCAGAGATGGCTGTTGGCTACAGTAGTTGCAGTTGTAGGAGAAACCCCCAGTCTCACACAAGAGTTTGTTGAAAAGAGTGCTAGAGATGAGCAAGAGAGCTGCATTGTTCCCTCTCTGGCCCCTCCCCCACAGGCAGCGCCACAGCACTGTAAAGAGGGTTGTCCCATCCTGGTGAATACCTAAGGCCCTGCCCCCTTACAATGTATCAGGTGCACCAAGACAAAGAAATATGGCCCAAATGAAAGAACAGAGCAAAACCTCAGAAAGAGAACTAAGCAATGAGGAGATAGCCAACCTTATCTGATAGAGAATTTAAAGCCCTGGCAATCAAAATAATTACAGAACTGATTGAGCTTGGGTGAAAAATGAAAAAGCAAATGAAAGATACCCAAAATGAAATAAAGCAAAATATTCAGGAAACCAACAGTGACAGGAAGGAAACCAGGACTCAAAGCAATGATTTGGAACAAAAGGGAAAAATAAACATCCAACCAGAACAGAATGAAGAAATAAGAATTCAAAAAAGTGAAGAGACACTTACAAACCTCTGGGACAACCTGAAACATTCCAATGTCCAAATTATAGAGATGCCAGAGGGAGGAGAACAACAGCAAGAAATTGAAAACTTATTTGAACAAATAAATGAAGGAAAAGTTCTCCAATCTAGCAAAGGAAATAGACTTCCAGGAATTCCAGGAAGCCCAGAGAGTCCCAAAGAAGTTGGACCCAAAGAAGAACACACCAAGGCACGTCATCATTAAGTTACCCAAAATTAAAGAGGAAAGAATCTTAGAAGCAGCAAGAGGAAACAAGACAGTTACCTACAAAGGAGTTCCCATAAGGCTATCAGCTGATTTCTCAAAAGAAACCTAGCAGGCAAGATGGGGCTGGAAAGAAGTATTTGAAGTCATGAAAGGCAAGGCTCTACATTCAAGATTACTTTATTCAGCAAAGCTTTCATTTAGAGTGGAAGGTCAGATAAAGTGCTTCCCAGATAAAGTCGAGTCAAAGGAGTTCATCATCACCAAGCCATTATTATATGAAATGTTAAAGAGACTCATCTAAGAAAAAGATGATAAAAAATATGATCAGTAATATGATGACAAACTCACAACCATTAACAACCATACCTAAAACAAAAACAAAAGCAAACTAAGCAAACACTAGTACAGGAACAGAACCACAGAAATGGAGATCACATGGAGGGTTATCAACAGAGGAGTGGAAGGGGAAGGAGGAGAGAAGGGGAACGGTACTAGATGGTAGGTAGAATATAGACAGGGGAAGGATAAGAATAGTATGGGAAATGTAGAAGTTAAAGAACTTACAAGTATGATACATGGACATGAACTAAAGCAGGGGAATGTGGGTGGGAGAGGCTGTGCAGTGTGGAGAGGAGTAAAGGGGGGAATGGGACAACTGAAACAGCATAATCAATAAAATATAATTAAAAAAGTAAGTAAGTAAGTAAGTAAATAAATAGTGGCCTAGTTTTTCTGTTAACCTCTGGGATTGAATCAGTACTTCGGATGCTCTAAGGCTTAGTGTCTAAGACATTCAAAGCAAAAATTCTCAGCATAATTAGTTATATCAACAGGACTTAGTCCTCACATGTTCTAAAATAATGCAGGAAAGGCTGGTCCAGGAGGTTCTTGTTTTAATTATAATTTCTTTTAAGAGTTTTGTAAGTAACAAAAGTCACTTATTAATTAACTAAATTTAAAGTAGTCCACTATCATAAAAATCATTTAGATTAACTCTATAGAGCAACATAATAACTATTGATCTTATAAGATTTTTTAAGACATGAAACTTTAAAAATTTACAAAGAAGGTAAGTGGAGTAACAATGTCAAAAGATTTGCAGGGTTGTCTGAAGTTCACAAGAGCTTTTCTCAGACTTTTGGCTAAGATCAACTGTAGAGATCTGTTCTTATCAGCTTAAAGTTCACAAAAGCCAACAGCTTAAACAATTAAAAGGGCCTGTTATGATAATTTAATACTTATATTTACACTTAGGTTTGCCTCCTAGAAATTGAGACAGCAAATGAGTCTAAGGACAAAGAACTTTTTTTTTCTTTCTTTTTTTTTACAATTACAGTGATAGAAACCAAATAAGTAGCTGCTTAGAGTGGGAGGCCTAAGGAATAGGAGGAGTGAGTGGTGACTGCAAAAGGGCTAAAGAGAACTACTCAGGTAACAACAATGTTCTGCATGTTGATTGGAGTGGTTACAGCTGTATAAATTTATCAAAATATCAAACCAAATATTTTAAATGTTTCCATTGTTTTATGGAAATTATACCTCAATAAAGTTGATTTAAAACCATAAAAAGAAACATTTTTCATTTTTACCAATAACTTTATTGATTTGGATATTTTGAGTATGCTGGCTATCTCCCACTATGGGCTTCTTCTAGTGGGTAGAGGCCAGGGGTGCTGCTAAACTTCTCCCAATAAATAAGACAGCCCCACAGCAAAGAATTATTTGGCTGAAATGTCAATAGTACCAAGAAATCTCACAAACCACTTTTTACATGTTTGATCAGTCACAGTATCTTCTCCATACACTGCACAAATCTTTGTGTTTCACTTGTGTTTTTGCCCTTTTTGAAATAAAAAGCATAATTGTGAAAAATGTTGCATATCTTCTTCCATCTAAATATTAAATGGCTGCACAAAAATTTCAATAATTTTGATAAGTTTTTAAATATATTTTATTGATTATGCTATTAAAGTTGTCCCATTTCACCCCTTCATTCCCCGCCACACTGCACACCCTCTCCCACCCTCATTCCCCCCTTTAG